AAAAATAACTTCTCAGCTATGTGAACAGATGTTTGCCTGTGTGTGTGCAGCGCGGCTGAATATGTTGCATCTGTTGTTTGGCTTCTCTGTTTACAGGGATCTATCACACAGTACACATCATCGATGTTTAGAAGTCAGAAGGCCTTGATGCAATCACGGTGTTAAACTGTCATTCCGTGTAATTCTCTCAACAACTGTGTTCACCTCTGAAACTATTGGATTTATTTAGCACCTGCAGCTTCGAGTTTCCTAAAGTTGAGTCAGCAGTTGGAGGTGGAAACTAAGAAATATAATAGAAATGAAAATGATGCAGGAGGTCTCATTAGAAAGTGAAAAGCAAAGATAGAGTCATCAATCCGAGGTTCTGTGCAACTAGAAATAGTATGTACAGAACAGAACATGAACAGAACTTCTTTGCTGAAACAGGAAAATCTGACTAATGCTACAATGTTGTAAATATTGATTAAGTGTATTTGTAATGCTAATAATCATGTTGAAATAGATATTATAGATCATTACCTAAATTAATATATTCATTATATGACTTACATTTTTAAAGACAAATGAGTGCACAGCTGCAATGCTACAGCTACTGCTGCTTGCTAACAAGAAGGAGCTTGGTTTATTCTCTTCATCATGATTCAATTTAATCTCCCTCTGCATGTGAGATACCAAACTGAATTGAAAGCAGGGAAGAAATACGATATAGTTCATAAATGTGAGTTTTTTACATATCACAGAAACCTGCTGCAGAAAATACAGTAACTAAATTTAGCTAAAGTTAGTTGTAATATGTCTTGTAATTGTATCTTGTATTTTATCTTATCTTGCTGACTAGTTGGCTGCCTCATTTATATATGTATTCATGTACAGTTCAATGACAATCAGACCACTGTGTGTGTACAATACAGAAACAGATATAAAATTAAAAGCTACATTAACTCTCGTTCAGTCGGTTCAGCTACTGCAGCTAATTAACAATTGAAGTTGTTGCTATGAAAATGTGTAAATGGGTGGTAAAAATCAAAAATGAAATCAAACCACCGTGATTGAGATTCCAGAGCAGTCCGGTTGTGTGTCTGGTGTTGTGTGAGTGATGGCAGTAATTTTACTGTTCTCTGCTCTTAACCGTCGACGAGAGTGAGGAAAAACTTCCCCAAAAAACTTTTAACAGGCAGAAAAAACATAAAAACCTCAGAGAGAGTGAGGATCAGGGTCAGAGAGGACAGATAAAATAACAGTAATTACAACATTCATGTAAAAAGACTGTGTTTAACTTATAGCTGTATTAATGTTTAAAGCATTTATGTAACAGAAAATGTCAGCCAGAGGTGAAGGGAGCATGGGAGGCAGAAGTGAGGAAAACCTAATAATCCTTTTTCTAAATACAAATGATTTAATCCAACGTGGTGACATAACGGTGTATTTCATGTGTTGTTTCTAATGCTGAAAGAAATCTTTTACGTCTGTAATTACTCTGCCGCGGGAGCTCGTTGTCCATGTCTGTAGGAAATAGTATAGTATAATAAAATACTATTTTATAATGTAGTATGATGTTAAATGTGTTGTTGCTATTTGCCAAATGTTTTATACAAATGGGTGAATATTTCCTAAAAGAGAAAAAAAAAAGTCTGATCATTTGCACAAAGACGTCTCACAGCAGTGTGGGGACTGTTTTTCAGTCTGGTCCATTAGGTGCCACTGCATATTTTTGGGTCATGTTTTGTATTTGGTAGCACATAATTATATGAGTGTTTATTTAAATGTATCATATTTTCCACTGATAATAATACAGCTAATTTAGGTGATGTATGCAGTGCAGCAGTGGGTGTATTCATGGAATAAAGTGTATGTGGGAATAAGTGGGGGTTTATTATTCTGCCCAGATTGTCTGAATACAACATTACAGCACCAGAATGTTGTACTTATGGAAATGATGCATCTCTAAGGTTGAAAAATATTTTATACAGTTAAACAAATGTCAGAGTCAGATCTAGTATTTAACTTGAAATTGAGGAAATATGTATATATATATAGTGTGTGTGTGTGTGTGTGTTTTAGCACGACTGGGTGGAATGATTTTTTCTTTATCATGGCGAACTATAAACTTTGAATAAAAACAAAACAAAACTTTGGTGTGCTGGAAAATGAAGCAAAAAACGTAAACAAAACAACCGACTGAACCCGACCTGAACACATGCACGTCTGTCCTGCGATGACTGTCACTGAGACAGCAGCAGGTAGTGAATGAAACAAGCTTTCCACGAGGCCTTGATCACGCTCACATTAATAACACTCTCATTTGGGTGGGCTCGCACTTCACTCGTGACAGTCATTTCCTTGATGGGTGTCAGAAATTAACGATGAAGTGTTGTCTTCCAGTTCCAACATTTTAAGCCTGCCAAAGGTTAAGGAAACACGGCACCATAACACAGAGGCTCGGTGTTTGTCTTGAAACCAGGCAGCGCTCGCATCTGCACTCCAACTCTGGAGCTGTCGGACACTCGTTTTTACACTGAGCTAACACTGTGTTTCGTCTCACAACTGTTCGCACTTCATTAGTGAAGGATCTTTAAGACCGCAAATAGAAATCATAAAGAACATGAAGTCTTTATACACTTCGCAGAGCAGGAGCATTCGTCCTGGAAGTTAAACAGATCATCGTGTGGCCAAAATGACTCAGGTTTGAATCAACGCTCCCTCAGGCAAAAGTGACAGTGAAATGCTTTTTATAACAACAACCATAAAATTAATAATAAATATTGAATACATTTTAAAATAAGTGCATTAAAACGTTTTGGAAAGCAGACTAAGACATATAGGAACAGTGTGTGTGTGTGTGTGTGTGTGTGTGTGTGTCAAACATCACTCTGCACTTGTGAGTTTGTGTGAAACACCAGCAGATAGTTCCTGTTGTCTGACAGAACAGTTAATCCACGCGGTGGGGAGCGACAGGGAAATGCAGAGAAACACAAGTCTTGGAGTCGTCAGCCACTTTTCATCACCGCCACAAAAACAGGCAACTTAGGACCCTTTGTGAGGAGATGGCTGCAGGGCCGGGACACAGTTGCTGCTCCCCATAGCTTTACCAATCTGTTGGCAGAGGAATCACTGCTTATGATCACTAATGACAGGCCTGAACTCAGAGGAATGGGAAGAATAAAAGGCAGAGTAATGGGGGGGAGCGTTTTAACAACTTGCATCATTGCACAGCCACACAAAGGCAAAGCTTAACCTGACATTCCTGTGTAATTAAGACATCTCTCACATGGCACGTTTCTCCTGACCACTGGGGACTCCCATACAGAACGGGAGGGTTTTCAAAGCAGCCGAGGGCAGCCCATTCACATCTGTGATCGCTAAGCATGTGCAGCGTGGCCATGAATGCAGTTAGACTGTAACACTCTGCAGGCATTGTTTTTAATACACTGACATTTAAATTGTGATCCCACTTGCCCTTTAGTGGGGACCAACAGCACCGGGGAAACTGACAAAGAAATGAGGGACGACCAGAGAAAATGTTCAGCCACTGAAACTTTGATAAGGAGATCAAATGATGTAGGGCATTTTTCACTTGTATTTATTTTCTATTTTAAGGCAGCAGCACAGGAACATTAATAAAAAACAGCATTACTTTTTGGTTTCCTCTGCAATCCAATTTCACAATGTGACAAAAAAAAAATTCTGGACAAATGAATTAGTTATATTCACTACTTACTGCACTGCACATGTGGTTTACTTATAGAAACAGATTATAGGCCTCGGTTTTAAATCCAAAAATATTACATGATTGATGATTTGCACTAAATTGACTTTGATTGTAAATGTCACATAAACATTTATATTGGGATGACAAATATACAAAAGCACTAGAGGTTGAATACACTGTGTCATGTCACTCTTTATTTTAGACTCTTTAAAACAGTTTTTTTTTCCTGTACTTAATCTTCCATATTAATATTCTACTGCAAACAGTGCAGCAGTGCAGAGTCTGCAGAGTGTGTGTGTGTGTGTGTGTGTTTGCCTCCACTTTCATCCCAGTGTGAAGCTTCTTTCATGTCAGTGTGTGAAAATGATCCTGAGTGGACAAATTATGTGATTGTTTCGTTCGCTGATGTCGGCGCACTTCACGATCTTGTGTTAACAATTAGCCAACAATAACAACTCACTTTGATGCTCACCAGGGTGGAAACGGGGTCACGACCTTAAAACAGCCACGCCGGCTCAATGCAGCCCTCCCACCCACGCCCAACCGCCAGCACCCCCACCCCCACCTGGACCTCATTCACACTCACACATCTGATTGAGAAATTAAATAAAACACTGGTGCAGGAGGAAATGCAAGTTCCCATGAAGACCACTGCTCACGTTTAATTCTTGTGTGAAATCAATTGTGTCCAGATGTGTTATTAGGCCTGGATTAACACAGTGAAGCAGAATGTATGAAGGCATCACATCATTTATCAGTTGATGTAATCAGTCTTTAATTGCACAGAGTGACACTTGTTTTTGTTGGAGACGCTGATTTAAAACGTCCTGTAAATAATAATGTGTTGGTCTAGTTTTCCTTTCTTTTGTCTAGTTATGATAATACAGCTGGAAATCAGATGGAATAAACAGCATCAGAATGTGTCTTCAAATCTTATCTTAAAATCCTTTGAAAAATAGTGTAAAAATTCAGCTCTACGCTGCATCCTGCATTTACACTCTACTCCAACATCACTGCAATATGAGTATTTCAAAACATGCACATACACTTTATGACTCCATCTAGTGGCGTAGACTTATAATAATAATACTGGCTGCCACAGACTTCAGAACACAATCAAATCTTGTAAAGATGTAAATGTGGAAATGGGTATTTATTTCTATTAATTGTTTTGAGCTGGTAGATCCTGTATCATTTTCTGTGCAGCTACATGATATTTCAACTTTGCAACACCTGCTCAGGAGAGTGAAAGAGCGTCCCTGAATAAAAGAGTCTGACTACTGGAGAGCACTTTCACGTTAATACAATTTTAATGGTGTTGACTTTGGCTTGGTTTTAATTAATGACTTGGCTAAAGTAGCTGCTACAGCTTTGAGAGACAAGATCCCAAAACCGAGACCAGAGGCTGAAGCTTCGCCTGAAAAAGAGCAAGGAGCCAGATCAGTGTGTGATCAGTGTGCGTACTGGTGCAGGGTATGATGCAACTTGAAATATGACAATGTGAAGCGGGAAAAACATTTTTAGTCGACACCACAGAAGCCGTCACATTGCAAGTGGGAGAGGAACACATTACAAAGGAGGTTTTCCACAGTAACTGTATTGCAAAAGTAAACAAGGCGGACAATCATATCATTTAACAACAATATGTTTGCTCCTCGGAGTTTGCCATTTCTCTATGTCTTAAAAAAGTGAGCCATGATCTCAAACAGAATTGTCTAAATACAGAAAAATATAGATTCAGGTCAAAAAGGATTGTAAATACTTACTAGTACTGTAAATAACAGTAAGGGAAGACAGCTACAACAGGTATCATTCACTGTCCTGGCACAGTGGATGCATTTAATAGGTCGGACATACAAAAATAAACCACAACAACGCAACACACATATTGTACAAATAAAAACCTGAAAATATGTCCCACTGGCAGAGTTTGATCGGAGCGCATCTCATGTGTGAGGAGTGGACGCGTGGTTTACATCTGTGACTAAAACACTGCTGCTATAGAGTGCAGCACATTAATGTTTAAAGATGTCCTGACCAAAATGAAACGGCGTGACGGAGGCGAGGACGCATCTGCTCGGACCTATAATATTAACAATAATAACATGTCACATTGGAAATGTTTACCATGGCGTCATGATAACATCGACACTGAGTGAAGACGGGATGGGGATTGAAAAAAAGTTTGCTAATGAAGATTCTGGTGTGTCAAATGTCTGCGATGCCCCCAAACACACACACACACACACACGCACACGCACACATCCAAAACAAAAAGGAAAAAAGAAAAACTAAAATTTTCTGCAGAGGGAAATTTCACAAGTTGATGAAATATTCAAAACAATAACTCTTAAGAATTGTACAAGTATAAAAAAGCTACAAACATTAATAAATTACATCACTGACACATAAACACTTCACAAGGTGCTAGTAAAATAATTCCGAAACCCTTCAGGATACTAGAACTCGAACAAGAGGCTGGTCATAGAAACTTTAAGTATTTTTTTTTTCCTTTTTATATCGTTTTTCCTCAAAGCTTCGTGTCTTGTTCAAACAGAATAACAATACAATTAGCTTTGTGTATGTAAGGCCATATGACAATAAAATGTATTATTTCTTCAGTTGTTTTCCAGGCAACACCTTTCAATCTAAGGGGGGGAAACAAAGTTACAAATGAATCTCTGCTATTGAAAGAAAAAGCAAAAAACAAAATAAAGGTTCAAATATTAGGACTATAATGTATATCCATATATATATATTTGTATTCATTTATTCAGAATTAGCAAAACCGGTAAAAATGTAGGATTAAGCCTTAAGGAGAAAAGATACAAAAAGTAGTAATTTAAAAGGCTATGTACAAGCTACATTCTATATACTGTACTGTGTGAAGCCGTAAAAATGCAGAGAGGAGCCTAAGTTGTTGGTGCTGCCTGCGAAAGCAAAAGAAGAGAGAAAGTATCCCCATGCAACTGCAGACCTGACATGGATGAGGCTTATCATTAGCTACAGGTCCCGCGTAGTGTGAGCAGTCCTATGCTTCTCGTGTCCAAACACACAAATCCTCAGCAGACCTCCATGGCCATTTAGTCGTACGCTTTCCTATGTGTAACTGCAGGAAACCTCCGGACACCGCCTCCGCCTCCTGGTGCACAGCGCTACTCGTGATTCACTTTGTGCTTTACAGTTATTCCGTGAACTCTCATTTCCTATCTACGACACGAATAAATAAATATCAGGGCTGATAGTGCTCTGCAAACGTCAGTGTTAACATAAAGGGATAAATGCTCGAGTTGACTCCAATCAAAACCGTGCTCGACAGCAACACACGGAGAATCTCAGCTCCTGGGAGAGGCCGATCCATCCATCATCGGTGTTGCAATGATAAGCTGCATCCATACAGAAGGAATTAACGTAAGTAAAATCCCCAGACCCTGGCCAAAGCACACATGCAACTGAATACATGCAAGGGATACTTTCAGAAATCTTGGAATGACTGCAATGTACTTCTACTTCATGTTTTAGCAACCCCTGATAAACTAACAGCTGTAGTAAAATGACATGTTCTCTTAAAAAATATTTATAGTAGGTTCTGTACACTTTAATATCTGAAAGTTATAAAGTATAAGTAGAGGCAAAAACCTATTTGAGTGATGTTCTTCTTAGAAATTGAAAAATGCATGATTTTCTTCTTCTCCCATCTTGTTGCAGTTATTGTTTTTTCCATTGTTGGCTTTAATCAGTGAACAGGGAGTGAGGTTGGGATGGGACCCAGCTCATGAGTTCCCAGTCCTACAACAGTCCGCTGCATACTACAGGAGGAGCTTTCCATTTCGATGGATCTTTAAAATCTTTCCAAGTCTTTGTTTGGCTGTTGCCATGCCTTTCTTTAGCCGCTTCGCTGTAAAAAGAACAAGAAGAGACAGGAGGTAAGACAGGAGGTAAGACAGGAGGTAAGACAGGAGGTAAGACAGGAGGTAAGACAGTGTCAGCGCTAATAACACAAGATATACTTTGTTTTCATCCATGTTTGCTCGCTAGGAGTCTTCTTCTTAAACCCACTCATTAAAAACGCCGCTCAATAGCACCCCCAGTGGGTAAAACTCCACAGGGTGCCTTTAAGCTAAAACACTATCAAAGCAATATGTATTGTAATTCTTCTTTGTTGCCAGTAGAGGTCCATCATTTTCATGGATTATTTGACTGTAGTAAATAACTGACTTCACGTAATGTAAATGAATGCAGCTGTTACATTCATTTAGTTATTTATCAAGCTGTGTCCAGACAGTAACTCCAGATGTCAGCACAATTGAATTCCTCTGGAGTTTGTCTTTCACACATGAACAACGCAGCAGGAGATTCTCCGCTCAGACATGTTCCCAACATCACAGAAATCTCTGGGTGTTCAGGTGAGATGTGGAGCATGAGGCAGGAAGTAATGCATTCATTCTGCTGAGGAGATCGACACTAGCAAAGACTCTCTAGACATCTCCATCTGTGTCTTAGGTGCTTAGGTTTTCATTTTGTTTTCATCTCCTGCTGTGTTCTCACATGGGCTCATTCAGGCATTCGGACATTCTCCAGAGTTTTTACACAGAGTTTGGAAGGAGGAACTCTGGAGAAAGTCTGGAGCCTCTCACTTCTCACTCGGACATTCTCTCATGCAGTGCATGTCTGAAGGCAGGTTCATTTACTTATATGAAGAGGTCAGAGGTCATCCATCTCCAGTTTATACACCATTCCCTCATTCGAATATTAACTCAGACAGTTTCCTGGAAAGACTTTTGGACTACAGGGGAAATTTGACCAAAACCTGTTATATGGATGGGATGTTCATGGTCAACGTGCTTCATTGAGGATATAGCTGAAAACTGTTGTGGAAGCAGAGTGTACCGTGTAGCATATTCATGACGTGATCATGTTGCATTTGCATCCTTTTCCAACATCAGCTACTTTCAGCCCTTTATCTGTTTGCACATAGATGCAGTCAGAGCTACTTTACAATCTGCGACAGTAAAAGTCCAATCATCCTAACGTGGCTTTCATTACAGCCCACCTTTGGCATCTGCTGACCCCACACGATCCCCCTTCGCCGTGCTGCTGCTGTTGGTGCTCGTGGAGTTGGTGCTGTTGTTGGGAGAAGACATGGACGGTCGCCTCTGACTGAGGAAGACCCCGGGAGCCATGGGCTGCGGCCCCCCCGGCGACTTGACCGTTCCAGTGTTGAACTCGTGGTCTGTCAGGCTGCCATCTTGGGAGTCCAGATTGTGCTCCGGCGAGCTACTGTCCTGAGAGATTTTTGGGGGCTCCTCAATTACTATTGCCTTCTTTTTGGTGCTTTTCTTCTTCTTCTTGGTTTTTTGTTGCTCCTCCTGTGGACACATACAGTTTGTTGAGCACCACATGAATACTTATTAGTATTGTCTCAAAATATTGTTCATTAGCAGACCTGATGAGAAAGCTTTGCTGCGGCTGCGGCCAGCCCCGTCTCTATGGACGCCACTCGCGCTCCTTCTCTTGCCGGCCGCTCTTGTCTGGGAACTGAGGGTCCTACACGGGCTGCGATCCGATTGATATAAATGTTAAAATCCACTTAATCCATAACATGTACAGTGTGCATTCTTCATTAATATGCTTGTACTTACCTGTCGGGCTGTATGGAGTGTCATCACTGCTTTTCCGTTTTTTCGATCTCGATTTGAAAACAGGGTTATCCTCTTCAGACTCCAAAGAGGGGTAAACTACAATCACAAGTTGTAAAGGATTACTAACACATGCTTAGTTTTCAAAGAGAATATAAAATAATGGACTGAATTGTCACATATACTAAATAGAGGAACAGATGTGTGTACTTGTCTCTGCTTCTCAACCATCGAGAACGGTGGAAGTTGCAGGACAGCTGTGAGACAGCTGCTGAACGCTGCCTGCTCAGCACAACCATCACAATCTAGATCTTTTAATAACTGATAATTGGATGATCAAGATAAAAAATGACCTGTTTACAGAAAAAGAAACAAGTACCAGCATGTGAGAGGCACTTTGCGCTGGACTGAGGATTTCAGAAGAGAACATTCTTGCTATGATCAACTAATTAGACCATAAGTAGAAGTTGAAAAAGGATGTAAAATAACATTTGAGAATGCGTGTTAATGGCTTATTAAAGAGGATCTGGGCTTTTATTCACAAATTGGAGCAACACGAAAGGGAGGAATTGGAAAGAATGCATGAAAAATAAACATAAACCCTATCATCCAGTCCTAATGAAACGTTCAAATGAAAAGGCCAAATCTAGAGTTAAACAGCCACATGTTAATCCACCCGGGTCAAACAGTTTTTAACAGCACCTGTTATGCAGCGCTGAGAATCATGGCAGATCATTATTTTCTCATTCATTGATTAAACTGTGTGACACTGGGTCGACCCTTGTGATGGGGTCAAATAGAACAGGGACAAAAAAAAAAAAACGAGTCTCACCATAATCTGAGTCCTTGAAACACGCGTCCATGTGATCCTGGTCGTCATCGTAATCCAGACTCTCAATGCTGCTGCTTTTCCTGGGTTTCTTCGGGAGCCGTTTGGTGGGCCGCTTGCCGCTGCCTCCGCCGGCGCCGGCCCCCCCGCCGGCCTTCTTGCCAGCCTGCGCGCTGTGTGAGTTGCTCTTCGACTGGCTATTGTTTTTGGACTGGCTGTTGCTCCACGGCTGCTGCAAGCTGTCTGAAGACGACAGGTTGGCCATGGACAGCATGCCCTGAATGGCCTCCTGTGTGCTGGGAGATGCAGGTGGCTGACTGTAAGTACGTCAATAAGAAATACACAACAATGCAGCCATTACACAGCGGTCAACATGCAGGAAGAGGAGAAGAGCGACTGAGAAAATAAATTTGAGAAGGCTTTGAAGTCCACGTCAATGGCACCAGTCGTGCTATTAAGCATCATTAACGTTTGACATCTGCAAAAAGTTTTAAAAACCTACACAGAATCTGGAAAAGCAAAGTAAAGCTGTCATATCTAAATATTCTCCGGTGATGTGTGATTGCTTTTAGAAGCTGCAATGAAAATAATTTCACACACCCATTAGGGTTATTAGCCGCAGCAGTGAGCAAAGTGACCATCAAACTCAGAAATGAGCTGTAGGTGGACTTCGCTCCCTGCTCTCACAAAGTTTCCTCTTCAAAGAATTAAAGTGATTTGAGAAATTAACATATTTCAATCGCTGTTTGGCTCATTTGTAGCTTTCAGTTTGGTGCAAACAGACCATCAAGGGCTGAACAAAACAGCAAACAACAAAAGGCGAAGGGAAGAGCCTGGAGCCACGCAAGTGTTTGATAGATTAGCACGGGATGAAACAAACATTGACTTAACACTAACTGCTGACAGATTCTGTGTAAATTGTTGCTCCAGTCACTAGTTCCACTCGCATTTTTCAGCTCCGAGCAAAGTTATAAAATTCAGCTTTTTCATCCACTTATATCGGCGCTGACTGGGCCGTTAGTTTGTCAGCGTGTCACCCCATTAAGTGGAGTAAGACCCTCATTTCATTTACGCAGGGGAAAACGGCCCATTGGGAGCCATTTACAGAGTAAGACCGTGCATGTGCTGCAACCTGAGTGTGTTTAGACGTGAACGTTTCATTGGTGTTGAAGGAAATGGAGTGAAAAAGTAGAAAGTAATGACGCGAGGAGAAGTCAGTCTACCTGTTGGTGCTGTAGTCAATCCCTCCCACTTGCTTGCTCGCCTGCAGCAGGTCAAGAATCCCTGCGGCACTGCCGGCCTTTTTCTTGACCTTAGAGTTGCGACTTTTGACCTCGGACTTGGTCTCTGTGTCTATGTGCAGAGTCTCCTCATCCGAAGAGTCGACGCTCTGATTTTGGAGAGAGTGGACAGAGTGGAAACAGACATGAGAGACACAGAAGCAGTTTAAAGTTCAGACATTCTGCAGAACACTTTCTTCTTTTGAATGTGATTTATTGGAGATATTTTATTGGAGCAGTTTTGTTTCCTGAGTCTAAACCATTTATTTCTAATTACTGTTTCATTGTTATCTGTCCTCATGTTTGTTAGTTTGTTTGTAAGCAACATTACACAAAAAAAAAACTTGAGGGATGAAACTTGATGGAGGGATAAGGTCAAGAAATAACCTATTAAAACGTTTTGATACTTTCTTGAACATGGTGAGGTTTACTATAACTTTGTGAAATTTGGTACAGCTGGATTAAATTTAAGGGAACTCTTGGGCTTTGGTGGAGGTTTAGTTTATTATGGGATTTCTGACAGAATAATCCACTAGGGGGCACTGTAAAAATTAGCTCTGGGTTGCTAAAAGATTTTAGCAGTTTAGTTTAATACAAACACATTTATTCATATGCACATTTTGACATGTGTGGATCCATGTGGACAAACTGGATCATAATACAGGACCAGTTTATTTGGTGTGGACTTCGATATTTTTAGTTTTGACCATTCGCTTCTGTGGAGGGGGCTTGGTTTATGGCCTATACTGCAGCCAGCCAGCAGGGGGAGATTCAGATGTTTTGGTTTTACTTTTGGGGGCTGTCATGTCCTCCATCTTAATTATACAGTCAGGACATGGATCCAGGGGGACAGTTTCCTGTTTGACTGGATTGGTAACACAGACTTGGATGATACGGACATTAACTATGAGGATCTGCTTGGTTAGAAGTGGAGAGGAAGCTTAGTGAAACAGCAGATCAAGGTTAGGATATAGTTTGCATTCATGTGAAGTTTCGGTGTTACTGTAGGTACAAGTTTCAGAATTCTGTAAAAAGTGCTGAATAATGATATCACAAACTGGTCAAACATCAGCTACTAGCTGCTAGGAGAGGCGTTTGGTAAATGTGTCGAACATTAGTCACATTTGATACGTACCTTAGTCACCAAGGGTTGGAACTTTGGTTTTTTGGCTGACTGAATGGGCTCTCTGATATCTGACAGAACTGGGAAAAACAGGAATTATTGAATTGTGCAGTAGTGCAAACACAGATTATCAATCTCAACAATAGAGTTGGGAGGATCAAATTGGAGATATGATTAAAAGGTTTGAAACTTTTTTTATCCTTTTTTTGGACTAATGCCAAAATATGCAGGTGAAGGCATGAGAATTAGAAAACAACTTTGTAAAACTTAAAGCTAAATCAAGCTTAAAATATTGCAACAAGAAAGAAACGTGTTCAGACATCTTGAGTTTGCCTTCACACATGAACAACACAGCAGGAGAGTCTCCACGCAAACACATTCACAACAACACACATATCTCTGTGATTGTTCTGTGTGTATGGCTTTTTCATCCCGAGATATTTGTATTCTTTTTTTTTTTTAGTTTTATACGAGGAGGCTAGTAGGAGAAACTTGGGAAAATGTCCAGAGTCCCTCACTCAGTTATTTGCATTCTCACATACAGCCCCTCCAAAGAATCTCCGGAGATTATTCAGAGTTCAGTTCATGCCTGAAGGCAGCATAAGTAACCAAAGGTAATAATATGACCGTGCTTTTAATGCCAATTTTCACACTTTAAAATACTCAGACAAAACAATACGCTGTGTCAACTGAGACTCTAGAAGTGTTGAGGTTTGGTAGTTGAATGTTTAAATGAACTCAAACCCAACAGTTTCGAATAAATCCAAAAATACTCACAGGAAAGATCTCTCTTAACGGTGTTCTTTTTCCGTCTGATGGGGAATTCGTCAATCTTCAGCTCGCCCTCATCTGAGACGTACTCATACTCGTCTCTCACTGGCTTGCTTTTGTCCTCTTTTAGGTTTTGTAATGAACCAAAAACACTTGAGTTGGTCTGAGGTTTCAGCGTCTTGGAGCTGGAGAGGAAACCACAGGACAATAAAGGGGTGATGTGAGGCTCAGCCAGGCAACTCGCAGTGAGAAGTCCTTGAATTAGCTCTAATGGACATGGTGCTGATAGCCACATTGCTCTGTAATCACCATAATACGCCACATGAGAAGCTTAACATGCTCTTCTCTCAAAAGACCATTTATGAAACATTTATGTGGCAATCACAGCTATCCAATACATACCCAAGCATTTTCTTGTGAGACACAGTAAAGCTGAATTTGTCTTTATTGCTTGAAAGTGGTGTTCTGTCGAATTTGCACTCCTCTTCCATTTTCAGCAGGGAGTCAGGTTTACTGTTCTGTAAAGTTGAAAAGGAAACAAGCCCAGGACATGATGGTTTATAACAGACAGTGAACAGCGACTGGAACTTAGAACAAATAGATTAGTGTTGACATTTCACAAGGGAAGAAGTCCACAATTTGAAAATGTATTTAAGCTGCACAAATCAATATTCCTTAAGAATAAAGGCTAAAATGATTAGGTCTAATAATGATAAAAAAGTATTGATGAACCACAGAGAATCCTCATCCAGCTGCATTCAGCCCTGCATAGCATTTTAGCTACTTTTGATTCATTGTTTTGTCTTTTCAGTCAATTTGTTATAAATCTTTGGTGAAGTCCAAAAACTGAGCTAAAAGCACAGAAAATATATATTCTATTAGTCAAACGTTACAATGATTTCTAATCTGTTATTTGTCTTTTATTATATGAAATTAATCAATGTCAATCTGTAAATCAGTAAATGAAATAAATAAATAGATGAATAAATACATTTTAAATTCAAATAAACCAAGTTTACCTTTTAATAAATATTCATTCATCCATCTTTATTATAGCTTGGTTACGTATTAATTAAAAACTAAATAGGAGGTTTTAGCACATTTCCACTTGTTTGACTGAACTGTACTTTAATTACTACTCAAACAAGTAGTGTCACAGCTTTATTAACATGAGTGAGTGACACAGAACTGTTCTGGAGAAAGTAGCAGGGAGTAATTCTTTGACAATGAAAACATTAGTGTTAAAAATCCTGAAATCATCATGGTGTTTATCTCCATGGATCATTTTGTGACTCAGTTTAAACTGAACTAAGACGAATGGCAAACAGCTGCCATAAACTGCAATTAAGTGAAATCCAAGAATATACATTTTCAAATATCCACTCCTCGGCAATTTTGTCTTCTAAATTAAAGGCACATGACAACACGTGAAACTGAGACGTCACATTGTCTCATTCATGTTTTAACCTGACACTCAAGGCGTAATTGCCGCGCACACTGTACACAGAGGGGCTGTGATAATGAGCGAAGATGAGGTCCACAGTGACCTTGGTAAACATCTAACAGCGCCTCTGCTCCATCTGCAAGTGTTTGGCCTGATGTGACGGAGCAGTGGGACGCAGATCCTTGGAGGGACTACAAACATTCAGCACAAGTTTGACATTGAATTTTCCACTAAACTAAAGCACTTTAATGTCTTCCTCTCGACAAAATGACACTTCACCTCTGAAAAAGCCGCCCCGTGTTGGTAAGTAATAAGGATGCACAACGCTTTTGTAAAAGACGAGTGCCTATGTGGTGGCGGATATGAAAATAATGTAGTTTCACTCTATAAACTCGGCGAAGGTTTCTGGAGCAGCTGTGATGAGCTGCAGACCTAAAATGTGCGACTAAGGCCACATCATTATTTCTGCTGATTGCTTTGAAGTGAAGTGTGCAAATCACTTTTGGACGATCACACTTTTTTTTCTTTTCTCCTCAGCTGCTCAGCTTGTAACCTTCAAAAGGGCAAGAAACGTCTTTTTTTCCAAATGACAACAAACCTTCACTTTGTCTCAACTTTTAACAGACCGTAATACTATTTACTTTGGCCTGTAACTGGCAGCCATTAGTTTTGAACGATGACGGCTGAAACGATCTTACCTTATACTTCCATTTTGCTTCAGTCTTGTTTTTATTCTGCTCTCTGATTTCAAACTTCTCCACGTTGTTCTGCTTCGATATTTCCTTCTCTGACATACTCAGGACATTTTTAACAGCCTGAGAAAATGGAAATATTTGAAGAGCCACACAGTTATTAACGGAAAAAACATTTAATATTTAAGAGTCACTGTGAGAAAGTTTCCGAGATAATAGAACACTGAGTCATAATTCAAAAAGGGATAAAAACTATAAATATGAATAAAATAATTTCACAACAAAACAACAGTTTTGCTTCATGCTAACATTACAATCTGCTCACCTTCATCTTTTTCGGCTGGTCCATTTTACTCAATATGTCCTTTGCATGGGACTCGAGAGCTGCAAAGCTGGAGGGTTTAGGAGGCGGCGACGGCTCTTTTGCCTTCTTCGCTTTCTTCTTTCCTCCTTCCTTGACCTTCGGCACCTTCGGAGGTTTCGGGGCCTTGGGTATCTTTGGGGGTTTGGGAGGCTTGGGAGGTTTGATAGCCTTCTTTCTAGCCTTCTCTCTGCTGGGTGAGGGGACTTGTGCTGGCGACACAGGCTCCTCAGGCTCAGAGTGAGTGGATGGTGGCTCCTCCACTGGCACCTTAATGCTGGGCTCACTCTTAATGGCTTTTGTTGCATTCTAGAAACGAAGGCAGGGAATAGAGATGGGCAATATCATTTTGCAATCAGTCATAAAATGTCACCCTCACGACTGAAGTTGTATTGAATATGAAGTCAAAATAATAAAATAAATAGTAGAAAATTGTAATCAAGTATAGGGCTAAGACAGATCAAAGCGTCAACCCTCATATAATCACGATAACAATAGAAAGATGTTGGAAAAGCCACGAGTCCGCAATCACTAACTAATCAAATCTTCACACAATTTATTTGTGAAGCACCGCTTCACGCCTGCTGTGTGGCACATTTTAGAATATTTTAAAACCAGAGAAGTTGCACTTTAGCTTTTTACAAAGAACAAAAACTAAATAAAAAGAGTTTATAAAGTGTAGAGCTCAAGTCTGGAAGCTCAGATCTGTCAACCCACGAAAGGAGAGTCGGCTCCACAGGAGTCACAACTGTTTCTCTGGTTTGACATTTAAGTAACATGAGAGAGTGTTTTAGGATTTTGGGTTTTGAAAGAACATAGTATTATTATTTTTTTTAAATATAGGGCTGACCTGGCGGCTAACCTCGTCCTATGATGACTCCACATGTCACTGTCAGTGTTTGACATGTGTGCCTAAACTCACACTGCTCCAGACAAACTTTCAATTACTTTTCGGATATGAAAAACATATTTCTGCTCGGCACTAAAAGGTTATGATGCTGCAACTTGGGTGGTAAACATAATATCACCTTTTACAACCAAGTCCCCTTTCACTGGCACAATGTTGACAGCTGAAGTGCAAACTGAAAAATATTTTTTATTAAGTTGGACGTTACATTTGCCTGAGAAGGTCTTGTGCTTCCAGTACTTCCATACAGTATTTGTTTTATATTATATTGTCTTTTCCTATTGAAACAGAAGTACCTGACTTAAGTTCAAATCAGCAGCAAAGGAAGTAATTCACCTGAACACCTCTTCTCTTTCCACTGAACAGAACCAAGACCATGAATTGACTTTGCTCTGGTAATGAAGACTCTAATATGTCGCTTTTAAAAATGTAAATATTCATCTCTCACTGCCACCAAAATATAAAACTACCTGGTGAAACATGTAGACTCAGTAATTGATCATATCACATTTTATTGTTTAAATTTAAACTTAAATAAATTGAAAATACCTCTGACAGTCTGATCTCTTTGGCAAGATCCTTTATGAGCTGCGATGGTTTCATGTTCTCTGGAAGCTCGTCTTCATGTTCTAAGAGCGCCTGTCAGAAGGTAAACAGACCAAACGGTCAATCCTGTAACAACATCAGACACAAACTACTGACACTAAATGTACAGTAAATCCTCTGAAGTCTGTACCTGTTTCTTTGTCCAAGCTCTGAAAGCTCCATTGATGATTTTGGCACCGTGTATCAGATATGGAGCTGGTTGTTTATTTGCTTTATGTAAACCTACAGGAGAAGAAACACAGATGTTATCATTGAGTCGACAGTGACCTTTACAACTTGAAAAGTCGAGGCCATTAACCTGAAAAAGAAAGTCAAACTATAGCGTACAGCTGAGATTTACAGGATGTAACCGAACAGATGATTATTGCTCTCGTCAGTGAACAGGAGAAGAACTCTGTCAACAGTGTGACTGTGTGTTTAGACAAACTGCCCTGTTTCCTAAATTTACCAGAGCTTAGTCCCAAAACAGTGGAGTGACGAGTTTGAGTCGTCGAGGAACAACATCGACATCATCCCGCTCTCTCAGTGCATCAGCCTCAATCTCAAACGAGGACGGACCCAAGCTTTCTAACAAAAAGTTCCTTTTTCTGTTTTAGCTGTGACCAGTATAATTGAATAAAGCACAGTCAAGTGACTATACAGAAAATACTATACACAGCTACTGTGTTTATTCATATTTACTGCAAAGAACATTTACTCTCCTTCACAGAAACCTATTCTTTGTTTCACTCATTTTATTGTTTCTGCTGTTCCTGGTTAGTTTCAATTTATGTTTGATCAAATTCACAGTATCTTTCTATGGTAAAACAGATATGCAGATATTGTAGTAATAATTAACTTCTAATACTACTATTAGCACCATAGGTTTAGCTTTAGAAGTCTTTTAATGTGACCTTTACAACGAATATTAACAGTGTATGAAAATATAATGTAGATCAAATTCATTTGTTACCTTGAAAAAACTCAAATAAATATATAAACCAGCTGAAGTGCTCGTCAGGTGAGTATCCTGCATACGTAACATACATTCTGGTTTTTCAGTTTAGTTTGTATTGTTTGGGGTATCGTGTGTTTTTAATGACTTGTGCCTGGCGAACCAGCTGTGTTTAGATAATCCTTTACAGTCTACTTGTTTTATTTTTGTGTATTGTTGTGAGCTGCTGCAGTTTGAGCTCGCCAAGGTAAAGACGTCAAAAATACATCAGTGGAAAATAATTCAACTGGCATTCGTGTTTCTAAGTGACCTCAAACACATGCACTATTTTGTTATTTCCTGGTTAACATGTGCAGAAACCGATACATCTACAAAAAGCTATCGCTGTCTCAATGATCTGGTCTTTCAAATAAACTAAAAACAAACTTGTTAATTTAGTGTGAGTGATATTCCAGGTTATACCTCCACATTGCATCAACAACAGTTCTAACCTTTGGCAAGTCTGGATTGAGATGCTACTACTTCAATGCTTCACTTTAGGAAACAAAAAGTGTTATTGTTGATTTCTTCTTTAATGTAATGATAAAATACATCTGAGAAGTATTTAAGTAGATAATGGATAAAATAGGAAATTATTAAGAAAATTATTACAATATCAGCAGCAGAGATCTGAGTCACTTCCCTGCTCTGACCATGAAGTTAACAAGAATAATGGTATATTAATGGCAAAGCCTGGTGGGTTAGAAATAGTCTGCAAAGCACACAATAGACACACACACACACACACACATGCACGCATAGAAGATGGTGGAAACATAAACAATTGGCCCAGGCCAGCTGAGGGGAGTTTAAACACAGGCCTGTAATGGAGCAAATGATTCTAGCTGGGCCAAATCTTTTGAAGCTAATCATCTGTGAACTCAACGATTCACCGATTTAATGACTGAAATAATATTAGAGCATCCAGCTCCTCATCTGTGCTGCAGACCAGCAGCGTTACGCCAGTGCCGCTTGGAAAAAAGACATTTCTGACAGTGTTTGTGTATTCTCTGCTTTCGTGCATTCTTCTGGAGAGATGGCCAGTTGAACAAGGATGCAGGTTTACGTGAGAATACTGCACGTTAAGAGCACTAGCTGAGTCTATAAATACATGAACGTGATTTAAGAGTTCACCTTTGAATCGCTCCAGGAGATGTCGTCCCACATACCAGCACGCCGTCTCAAAGTTGGAGAAGGGGGTGAGGGTTTTGACCTTGAGCCGCTTCTCAATTTCATACGCTCTGAGGAGAATAAACCAAGAACGCTCAGCTAAACACTGTCATGTATTAACAACAAGTTTATTGCATCAAATATGTAATTCCCAAGGTTTTTCCAAACGTAGAGAGTTCATAAACACACACAAGAAAATTTGGAGATCAAAACAAGTCTTGAATGAAGGAAACTACTGAGTCAGATCAGCCAAGGCCTTACAGTCACATTAAATCCCTCAAAATTAGGGCAAAGAAGAGCCAGTTACCAAAAACTACAACAACAACACAGCATAAAGAATGAATGTGTGTGATGATGAGACAGTGAACGAACCTCATTTGCATCTCCACACTCAGGTTGTGGACAAAGTGTCCAGAGAACGCCAGGCAGTCGACTGGGGTCAGTATTGCATTGATCCAACCTGAGGAGACGTCATATGCAATTAAAATATTCTATTATTACATGTTTATTAAATATATAAATTAAATATATTCATCAATTCAAAAGGGGTAAAAAGATTCAAATTGTAAAAATATTGTCACTTTTACATTTAGGTTTTCTGTTGTAATCCACCTTCCCTCCTCCTCTTATTCTACACTGTTTCTTTAACATTTACCATGATAATAATAAGTAATTCATTGAATTAATCCACTCATCATTAAGTCCATAAAATGTCAGAAAATTGCCATGCCTTTAAATGAATCATTTTTCCCAAGCAAAAGTACAAAACCCAAAGTTATTTGATATGAAAACAAACACACACACACACACACACACACACTGACCTGACGGGATGAACAGAGTCTGGCCTTGCTTCAGAGTGCATTTGTAACACTTGTCCACTTGGTCAGCGAAGAACATTTCGCTGTGATTGGACGATGATCTCCAGCGCTCGTACAGAGACAGGTTGGCAGACATGGGCTTGATGAGGAAGAAGATCTTCTCCCCCTGCAAACACAGATGCAATCAGAGTTTCTGGCAACATCTCCATCATCATCATCAGCATCATCATCATAATCATGTGAGAGACATAATGTCTTCCACATTGTCTCCTGACGTCCTCCTGAGAATCCGTTCAGAATAGAAGGAAATCAGTACAGTGTAAACACTGTTCTCATCATATTAGAGGCAGATGACACTGACTGTGTGATACACACGTTTTATTACAACATCCTGCTCTAAAACAAAGTGTGACAGACCTTGAGGATGTGGTACCAGACTGAGGCTCCACCACACTCGATGTGGAAGTCTGTGTAGCTGTCTTTGACACAGATCAGACAGTATTTGGTGACCTTTGGCTTCCCAAGCAGAGCATCGTCAGGCCAGTAGTTTTCTACCCAAGACAACCGCCGCACAATCTGTGGACTCTCCACTATACTGTTCATCCTGTCCCAGAAAAACAGAAAGAGAAATCGTCACCAGGAGTTTTCACCAGGAGACTTTGGCAGCCTCACCAGCCAAATCTCATTTTAGAAATGTATGTACCTTGTGTCCGAGAACTCCAAGTTGATGACGTTTAACACTTTCTTTCTGTTTGTGCTATAGTAATAGTCGACAAACTCTTTGAGCTTCATCTTGCTGTCCGTCTGTTTGGTGACGTCAACGACATCCACGCCAACGTCGGGACCTGGGATTGATAACAGGGGACACAGAAGACACAATAAGACAAGCAGCAGAAAAACTAACCACCTACAGGCTTAACATTTTCTTTGGACTGGAAAGTGTCTGTTGCAGTGGACTGTTGGAATCTAACAAGTGATCTCATCACTGAGCACCAGAAGACAGGGGGAAGAAAGAACTGCAGCGCCACCTACTGAAAAGCAAAATGGTACATTGGTCTTGTGCTTTATGTGAGAAATTACTATTATTTGCATCTTAATGTATTATTGTTCCCTCCTTAATTTTAACTGCAAATTGCTTCAGTAGTTGTAACAATACAACATACGTTTTATGTATAATATCTTCATTTGAAAGGTAAAGTGTAGCTAAAGCTGTCACACAAATGCACACAAACTGAGAAAAGATGTAGTTTAAAGTGATATTAAATGGAAATACGCAAATAAAATACTTTAAATTTGTAATTCCATAGGCAAATTACAAGTTACAGTTCAACATTGCTGGAGTGGTAGTGAAAGTAGTACAGGTTATTGTAGTGGTACAAGGGTAATATTACTACTGCATTCAACACTTTTGGTGCAGCAGAAATAACAGTAGTTAGTCATTACTAATCCTTAACCAAACCACTAACACCAGTAACATTGACAGTTGAAGCAACAGAGGCTGTGACAGTGTTACTGAAAGTATTACAAGGTAGTACAATACAAACAGTAGCACTAGCACTACTACTATTATATACTATATTATATATATATATTATTGTTAGTATAGTAACATTAACTGCAGTAGTAGTTATAGAAGTAGTAGTAACATTAATTTAAAAGTGTTGTAGTCATAATTGCAGTAATAGTAGCATTGTTAGTAGTTAGTAGTAATAACTGAATGATTTGTTAGTAGTGACACTATTACATGAGTGACTACTACAGCTGGTCTGTTGACATGCTTGCACAGTAATGACAGTCATAGTAATTACTGCACTGATATAGTAATAGTAATAATTGTGTGTAGTTGAAGAGATAGATGCAACAACAATAATAACAGCACTGATAGTAGTAGCAGCGGTAATAGTTATAGTATCAAAACTCGTAGCAATGGTAATACAAATACTTGCAATGCAATATAAGTATTAACTGTAGTTGTAATAGTATTAGTAAGTTAAGTAGTAGTGTAACTTAAGTGTTAACTGCAGTAGTGATGTCAGAGTTTCAGCAATTGTACCTTGATAAGTAGGAACAGTTGTACAAGTACTGTTCTAGGTGCAGAAGTGTAGAAGTAGAGGTAGTGGTAGATACACACAGTAACAGAGCTAGCAGTAGTACTAGTGGTATTAACAGACAGTATCAGAGGCAGTAGTTGTGGCAGTAGTTACTGTCAGTGAGCTCCTTACCAACATAGTTCTCCACATCACTGATGTAGAAGGTGGGAGCGGGCATGGACATGCCCAGCCCGTCCTTCTTCTGAACCAGGATTGGTTCATTGAAGCCGTTCTCCTCCAGGTAATCCATGTTGAGCTGACTGCCGCTCAGTTTCACCACCACATCCTCCGCACTGCAAACCACAAACAAGCAGCATGAACCAGAGAGCAGCGTGACAGATGTGTGATGGTGGGTTCAACTAACTTGTCCTGGAATGAAGTAATTCAATGCGATGTGATAACTATGTCAACAACGTGAGACTATTTGAGTGCAGATCTCTTAAAAGTTGTGAGACAGTGCCCCCTTTTGGGATTCTAAGTAAATGACAGGAGAAGAACATTTACATAATATGAAGGAAATTTCAAGAGGAATAATCATTGTGAGGAATACTTGTATTTGTATGTTAAGCCTGACTATTTCAAGTAAGCAGAGGGTTTAATTATTATAATCTCCTATCATCACACAGTTGGTGGTGATTGAGTTGTACAGTTCCACATTGAGATGAGGAAAAAAATAGAATGTGTCTAAAACGTCTTTACCTGGGAAATGTCCGACTGCGAAGCTCCTTGATGAAAACCTGACTTCCGTTCTGAACGGCCTTGATATCTGTGCTTTGCCCCGTGTCATGTTTGCTCCAGTTCTTTTTCTTTTTCACTGAAAAAAAAGAGAAGAAAGAAAATTATATTGCACAGTATCACACTGCACAACAATAATATGGCAAATGACTGAATATAACACTGCAGAGTGAAATAGTCCCATCAGATGCTAAGGACAGTTAGATACAGTCAGTGACTCCACCTGAAGGTTGCCACTTACATGTGGATTTACCATGGGTCTTCTCGCAGTTTGGACAGTGATATATGTCAATATCTGGAGCGTCATCTTCATCCACTCCAACACAGCTGAAACAAGAAAAGATCACTTTTAATGTTAAGTTAATGTGACCTTAAAGGGCCCATTTTAAAAGTAGGTTTTATTTTCTTTCTTCTCCCCTGCTGTACCACTTAAGTCAACTTGATGGAAACTTGAAACTTTCAGAATCAGTGTCTGTAAGATCCCGTCTGCTCTTACTTTTGTTCATTCCTTTGACAGTAGTGCTGCAATTTACTGCTAATTTAAGAGCAGTAATTATTTTCTAATTTCTTTTTATCAGTTAATCATTTGGTCAATGTAAAAATAAATTTTAAAAAGTCATTAACAAACACCCAGTACAATCTCTAGAGGCCAAAGTTGATTTCTTCAAATTGAGACAGAAGCTCTGACATTCAGTTAACAATGATGTAAAACACAGAAAACGCCAACTCATTAGAAACAGTTCTCTGAAACTGAAACAAATTGGTGAAATTGTTTCAGCAGTAACTTAATACGCTAATTGAGCAAAATATTTTACCGAACATCTCCTAATTATTTTTTTGGGCTCTTTCCAATATCAAAAAACTAAATCCCTTGACTGATAGTTATTGTGCTGTAGTCGCAGCTGTCTGGAAGCACAGGCCCATTTCAAATCTAAAACAGTAATTTGCCTGGAGCAACTGCAGAAGATGAACCATAAAAAAAACACTGAATGGTCTTTTACAAAGACGGCTGGTTTAGTGAAAGACTGTGAGAGCACGGTGAGTCACACATACAGTCCAGTCCAGTGCAGAACAAAGAGGCAGTACAACACTTACATCAGACAGGGGCGATAAATACCAGACTACACTCTGTATATGAGCATTGTATATCACTGTGGCTGCTGTACAAAAGCACACAATTATCACGAGCCAGTTTGTCTTTGATGCAATAATCATTTCTATACTTGACAATTTACTCATGAAATAATCTGTTAAAAGATCTTTAATGCCGTTTTTTATCATGATATTTTAGTAACTTGTGTTTAATTATCAATGTAAAAGTATAAAATACAAAAACGATAATTGAGTGAGAGATATAAACTAAAACTACAGTGAGGAGAAAGTATAAAACTATAACTGTAATATCATTGGGTAGTACATTTGTAATAAAATCCTCAGCAGTGATTGTAGACAAGTGATAAGAAGACAATGCCAAGATGATTGAAGCATTTGTCTCGTATGATAACAGTGAGAACACGTCTTCCCACTATTTCAAGCAGCAGCGGTCACTGTGTCTTATGCAAGCACATTCCTCCCATTTAGAGTCGCTGCTCCCAAACTCACTGAGCTGGGAGTTTCCCAGAATGCCTTTCTTTTTCCCCTGGGAACTCCACAGCTTCACCACAAGGCCTGCTCACTTTCACTGAGGCAGTGGATTAGGTGGCTGTGTGTGCAGACATAGTGGAGCAGCCTGTTTATGACAGCTGTAACTTGGTGGCTTGGAGGAGAACTCCTAAACTTCATATTAAAGTTGTGCAAGCAAACTCAGAGGTTCAGACGCTTTTGCTTAAGAATTTCTTTGATGCAATCTGGTCACTGCCCTTTGATTCCAGGCTGCTGAGAAGCTAACACGCACAACATGGGATCAGATTACCTCGACTTTACCTTCTCTACTTTGGATGATTTTAAAATTGATTTTATGAGAGCAGGATTTATTTTTAAACCTGGACCAGGTCTGAACTACATCTGAATCTGTCAGCACCTAATGAGCTGCAGAGCAGCGTCGACCTTGAACGGTTCAGAAACTGACCTTTTACCTTCCTGTGTGGGTACGAGAGAAATGACTGCTCCTCTACAAAGACTGGCAATGTGCAATGTTAAAGCTTTCGAAGATCAAATTCACCTGATGAAACCCAAGTAATCTAAAGTACAATATTGAACTTATGTTCTGCTTATTTGTGTTACTGAGTGTTAATATTACTGAGAGGTGGTAGGAGGCGAGTACAAAGAGTGACCTTAACTCGTGATTTTCCAATTTATGGTGCTCAATTCAAAATCATACTCACGTTATTCAGTGATTACTTGTCCTGGTTGTTCATTCAAGACAACTCTTTGGTGTTCTAGTGTTATTTTACAGTTTTCAAGGAAATATGAATGTATGTTGTGTGACGGATGGACAGACTTTTTAGGGATACATCCGAATGGAATAAATGCAATTATATTTTTGGTTTTTAACTGATGTTAACAAATACTTAAAAACATTATTTAAGGTTTGAACAGTAGTGTTGATTTCAAATTAAAAAATATATAGTTTTGTTCAATGTTAGTGGCTGTGACAGTGTACTGAGCATCTGGCATAGTGACTTTAAATAAAGATGGATGACGCAGCTCCACTTTCTCTCACTGTACAAAATTGATGCTAACATATCTCGTATCAGCTAATGTGGAGCCAGTGTCTGCACAGTAGTGATCGTGGAGACGTATCGAAGTCCCAAAAAATATTGAATCCAGCAATGTACCACTCCAAAATTCAATTGTGTTTTCCTTGGGTATGCTCCCCCATTACAAAATTAGATGGAAATTGGTTGAGTTGTTTTGTGTAATCCATGGAACTAACAAACAAGCGAAACAGAGATGACAACATAATCTCCTGGGCACAGGCAATCAAAGCCAAACTTCTAAGAAACTTGAACATACATCAATGTGATAATGACAGAGACCATCTTTGGAAAAAGAATGTGACTTTTAGTTTGGCCCCTGTACCATCTTCTAACATGGCGATGGAGATGATTAAGACCTGTGCAGCCAGCCACCAGGAGGCAATTCAGATTTTTTCCACCTCACTTTTGGGAGCTACGTGACCCATTTTTATTTACAACCATAGAAACTGGTGTGATTTAAAATACAACAATTATAGCTAGAAATGCTACATGTTATTTACATGAAAATTGTTCACCCATCAGACACCCATCCCTCTAAGTGTTGGTATGATTAATACCAGTTTGAAAGACATTATGGGAGGGTGTGATTAAAACACAAGGAAGATGCAATATAGGTAGTGAATGATACAGCAGTTCTGTATTGTGTGGGGAAAGAGCCAAAATGCAGACAGGCAGAAAAGCTGGTGTCAATGTGAAGGTCAAGGTCAGAAACTAATTGAGTCAACGATAGGCCAGCAGTGGTAAGCGAGAGGCTGGTGATACCTCTTCCTCATTAGTCTCCAAAACAAGCTATACCTATTCTGAGCTAGTAATTTACATTTCTACCTCCGTAACCCAATAAATATGTACCTGACAGTGTCATTAGCAGTGCTACTCTAGCCATCAGCATTGCAAGGCTAGCTCAAACATGGACAGGGTGATGTGAACCAGAATTATTCACAATAACAGCTCCTTTGTTTCCGGTCTCACTGAAGATTCAGAGTATTAAACTGTTCCCACTCTGTAATAACACATTGTTTGTTGTTTAAATTTTTATTAAATATTATTTTCATTGTATGCTTCAACTGTTCCACAAACTACATATCTCAGTTTTTCTAATGTTTTTGCAGCTACTGACCAGGTGTGTGCAGGAGTCTGGCGTTTTTTTAAAGATGATTCATGCAAGTTTTCACAGGTACTTTTGTAATTTCCAGTTGGACCTGATGGTGGCACAGTAGTGCCATAGTTATAATGAATAGAGACAGACACAATGATGTCACAGAAACATGCTGGCAAAGAACCTGGGTTTTATATGAGGGGCAACTCAGGGTTCAGCATCTTGCCCAAGGACACTTCAGCATGCAGATGGGGAGGACTGTGATCGAGCTGCCGACCTTCTGGTTGGAGGACGACCGCCCTACCCCTCAGCCACAGCCGCCGCCTATTTATTAGCAATAACATGTAGTTATGTAGTATAACATCTGTCCGATTACTGGTCCGCAGAGAAATTAGGAATGCTGAGGGAATCTCATATTGTTGTCTCAACTGCTATAACAAGCAGGTAACTTCTCAAGCCAAAATTCCAAACCAGAAGATGTCACAATCGCATAAACCCATGGAAAACTAGATTTACCGCACAATGGTTGTGTGCCTCCACCAACCACTGAAATGAAATCACTTTACTTGAGGGAGTTTCATGAACTTCTGCTCTAAATTTGACTTGGACTCAGAGATAGTCTTGAAATTTCGCATTTTTAAGGATTGTAAGTACCAAATTGTAATCAGCTCATATTACAGTCCATGTGAATCTTTGTACCAAATCAGAAGAATTTCCCTAAAACTGATCTTAAGGTATCACACTTGAACATAAACATACTTTGTGAAGCCACTGTGACCTTTGACTGCTGGCAATCAAAATCAATTCACCTAAGTGAATGTTTGTGCCAAGACATTAACATTAATAAGAATGGGTCAACATACGACAGTCAACCTGAAAACATAATGCCTCCAACCACTAGCTGTCGGCGGTGTGGAGGCATACAATTTGGCATTCAGCTGCTGTAGCCAAAAAGAAAGTGGTTCCATCATTTCTAAAACCTGATGGATGCCCTAAATGTCTTTAATTTTTCGTGAAACAGAACTACCTCATTAATTATAAAACATGAACCATTTCATGCTACACTGAGAAACAATAATGATGTTTCTGACACATATATATATATAAATGTGTGTGTGACTTAAATCTTAAATCTAAATAAAATAATAAAAACCAAAATAATAGTAATAGCAGTAGCAGGGTTAAAAGGCATCTGACACAACATTTAGACAAGCCAGGGATTTGCATAATGCTACACCAATGATACAAACTCAATCTATGACATCTTCATTATTGTTTCCCTTTTTCTCTTTCCATCGTATCATTGCTGCATCTCTAATGAATCACAAATTCCAAATCCAGCACAAATGGGGACAATACGATACAGATCATCTCACTTAAATCATGTTTTGGATTAAAGCATTTAAGAAATAAAGCTAAAACGTGGTATACCCCAGAGGTAAAACACAGAAAATGTTTTGGATTAGAGAGGATTATATCACTTACAAACTACAGCCACATTCTGCATCTGTGGATGAGTGAGGTCATCAAAG